CGAAGAACGCGCGACTGCAAGCATCTTCTCCTGGGAAGTGTTTTTATGGAGTTTCTTGGCAACAGAGTAGTTTGTCCTGTTCAGTAATAGTATATCATAAATGGTTTTGTAACCCTGGGCGAAGACTGCAGAGACCAAACAATACGTTGGTTTGTGCTGCATTGCTTTTACATAGATTATTTCTCCAGATCCACACAGGCCCTGTGTGGGATGTGGACATGCTTTTGTCGTTGCTGTTTTTCTATAGAGAGGACACTGAACACATTACGGTTATTCAGAACTCTACTTATAACTCTGTTTCTGCCACCTACGTTTAACCACTTTTGGCCAAGCCTAAGATGCTCTTGCTCGTGTAGACAGTGCAGTACTGAAACCTGCATCCTGAGGTAGAACTTAAACCTGCGTCACATGACTCTAACAGAAAGGACCTTTGTTATCTCACAAGAGCAAACTCATGTGGGACACACTGGCTCAGAAGTTTCCCCACTGTTGGACAGCTGGGATGGGGCCAGATCGTGCAGATCCGCCACTGTGGAGTCTCATGCTGACTGTAATGACAGGGACTGCGTGCTGTTTCGTCTCTACTCTTTAATGCTTAGACTGTCCCCCTCAGTTGCAAGATAGCTGCCCCTGTTCAGTAAAACTCACAGGACAATCCTGAACCAAAGAAGTGGTCCTTTTCTGCTCTGTACGTGTCAGGAAAAGCAAAGTCCCAGAAGCTCACAGTAAACACCCCTGCGTTGCAGGGAGTACCCGTTTCCTGCCCGGAGATAGAGACATTATTCTAAACCGCACCCCTTCTTCCTTCCTCCCTCCCTGATGGACCGACCCAGTCTGGTTTCAGATCCATGTGCCATCCTCTGTCCCTGTGGTCACCATGTTAATTCCGATCCTCATTAACTCAGTCTGTCCGCACTGCTTCTGGTGACTTTTCTGTTGTCACCAGAATAACCTTATAAAACAAAACATCATTGTGATACCATAGGAGGCTTTCTTTTCTGGCCCACCAATCCAAATTATGACACAGAGACTTATTGTTAGTTATGAACACTTGACCTTATCTTAGATCTTATTTTAACCTGTTTCTCTTTATCTACGTTTTGCCTCAAGACTTTTTTACCTTTTCTTCTTTCTGCATGTCCTGCTTCCCTGCTTCTCATGTCTGCCTGCCTGGAAGCTGCCTGGCTTCTGGCACCGGGCACGTCCCTCTCTTTCTCCCTTCTTTTCTTCTCTCTTCGCCTCTCATTCTCTCCTATTACATTCTCTCTGCCCACCAGCCCCACATGTCCCTTTCCTGCCTACCTATTCGCCATTCAGCTTTTTGTTAGACCAATCAGGTGCCTTGGGCAGGCACAGTGAAGCAGCAATGCATCTTTACATTGTTACCAAAGGCAGCAGAAACACATGGAACATAGAGTAATACTCCTCAACATAGACAAACATAACACACCTTTGCCTAGGTAAACAAATATCCCACAACATGATGCTATACCATTGAAAACCCTGCAGGGATTTTTAGTCATCGGTAGGACAAAAGCTCAGGTTGTTTCATAGCTGCGGTGATGACTCTCCTCCCCCTTATCTGACAGCTCAGTAATCTACTAGGTAGGTGAAGAGCTGTGCTGGCAGGATGGTGTTGGGGAAGGGCCCAGACCCCAGCTAGGTGGATCCCCTCCCTGGACCCCTGTAAAACAGGCAGAAGGAAATGCCTGCTAAGAAGCTGCAATGACCTGAGTGTCAACTAGGCTAACGGCAGAAGTTTAAATAATGTAGGGGCCATTAGTGGGGACATCCTTCCCCTGAGCGTGGAGAAGGGCAAAGGGGCAGAGAGAACTCACAGGCCCATAAGCTCCGTCACATGCATCCACATGCCTGATGACGCCAGGAAATCAGTGCTTCTGTTTACCACCCAAACTAAAATACCGCCAGAAGAATTTCTGCTCTGATTGTGTTGGACAAGTTTAGCCAAGCAGATACTTAGAACAAAGTAAAAGCAGTCGCAGATGAAATTCAACCAATATTAAAAACTTGGGGGGGGGCATGATTTCTGATTATTTGAGTGTATTTATAGGACGTTAAAATTGCTTTAGTGATTTCACTTAGATCATCTTCTTATATGTATATATTTTAAAAGGTTTCTGTTATATTAAGTTTCCATACAACCCCTAAAATGGACTTTAATTTTAACTGCCTCTCCCCATATTCCTTCCCTCATCTTCCTCTTCCCTCACCTCCACACTTGATCCTTCTGTTACAGCCCCCCACATCTAGCCATAAATATCTAGTCTATTTCCCTAAGGAGATCTGTCTGTCCCCCTAGTTCTTTATGCCTAACCTCTGCGGTTCCACTGATTGTAGCTTGGTCATCTGTTGGGAGCTATTGGGGCTGTGGACCCCTGGACCCTGAATTCCCTGTGAATGGTTTGTTTTTTCTGTGTTTGCAGTTGCTCTAAGCAAAACAAATTGGTTTTTTCCTCTGCTCTGAGCAGCCTGCAGCTGCTCTGAGCATGAGACCTTGATGACGGGCTGGTGGGTCTGCAGCTGAAAGATCCCGAGAGCTGGGGCGTTGCCAGAGCCCTATATTAGCTTCCCCTGAGCACAATAAACTTGGCATTCTTGTGTCAAGAGTGACCCATGCCTCTGTCTCTGTGTTTGTTTGTATGTTTTCAAGTCTCTCAGCCCAGTTCCTGGCTCGCACACCAACAGGCATAGTTCTGTAGAGTGTAGAGCTGACATTGTATTTTACAGTCATCACAGACTCAACTGCTAATGTCCACATATAAGTGAATTCATACCATATTCATCTTTCTGGGTTAGGATCGCCTCGCCTCACCTAGGTTTTTTTCTAGATGTTCTATCCATTTACTGAGTTTCAGTACTTCATTTTTTTAATGGCTGAGTAATAGTCTATTATGTAAATGTACCACATTTTCTTTATCCATTATCTGTTGAGGGTCATCTAGGTTGATTCTAACGTCTGGTTGTTATAGACAGAGCAGCAATGAGCATGGCTGAGCAAGTGTCTCTGTCATAGAATAGAGTATTCTTTGGGTGTATGCCCGAGAGTGGTATAGCTGGATCTTGAAGTAGATCGATTCTCATTTCCAGAGGAACTGCCACCATTTTCCACAGTGGCTGTACAAATTTGCGCTCCCACCAGCAACGGATGAGTGTTCCATTTACTCCACATCCGAGCGAGCATAAACTGTTACTTCTTTTATTGATCTCGGGCATTCTGACAGGTGTAAGATGAAATCTCAGAATCGTTTTGATTTGCATTTTCCTGATGGCTAAGGATGCTATACTGCATAGTTTATGTCAGCTTGACCCGAACTCCAGTCATCTGAGAGGAGGGAACTGCAATTGAGAAAACGCCTCATAAGATTGGACTGTAGGCCACCCTGTAGGGCGCTCTTGCAATAGTGATTGAGAGGGCCCAGCCCATTGTGGTGCCATCCCAGGCTGGTGGTCGTGGGTTCTATAAGAAAGCTGGCTGAGCAAGCCAGCAAGCAGCACTCCTCCATGGCCTCTGCATCAGCTCCTGCCTCCAGATTCCTACCCTGTTTGAGTTCCGGTCATGACTTTCTTCTATGATGAACAATGATACGGAAGCAGAAGCCAAATAAACCCTTTCCTTCCCACATTGCTTTAGGTCATGGTGTTTTACCACAGACATCGTCTCTATCCCTAACAAAGAGAGATGCTGAACATTTAAGTGTTTCCCAGTCATTAAGGTTTCCTTTTCTGAGGAATCTCCATTTAGATCTATATCCCATTTTTAAATTGGGTTATTTGCTTTCTTGGTATCTAGTTTTATGAGATCTTTATTTTTTTTATATTAGTTATCTACCAGATGTGTAGTTGGTAAAATCTTTTCCCATTCTGTAGGCTGCTGTTTTGTCAGAGTGGCGGCGTCCTTTGCCATGCAGAAGCTTTTCAGATTCATGAGGTCCCATTTATTAATTGTTGGTCTTAGGGCCTGTGCTAATGGTGTCCTGTTGAGAAAGTCTTTTCCTGTGCCAATGGGTTCAAGGCCATCTCCATTTTCTCTTCTGTCAGACTCAGCATATCTGGTTTTATGCTGAGGTCTTCGAGCCATTTGGGGTTAAGTTACCTTCCCACCATCTCCAGTCACACTCAACCATTCTTTAACCTAAAAAGAACAGAATGCCAAACAACCATGATTGAATGCACCGATGATCATATAACTACGCCCCTGCTCAACCTGTATTTGTTCTTCCTGCTTAAGAATGGAGTCCTCCCTCTAGTTGTAGCTCTGCAAAAACTAAAATGTTATTTAGATGCGGTTTACATTTTCATTAGGGACTCCGACTTTCTTAATGGAGAAGGAACTGTTAGGGATGACCAGGGAGTGCTTTTCAATTAGGAAAAGAGCCATCGATTTGAGGACTGAGTGTGAGTGGTGCATTCCAGCAGACACTTGACCATTGACAGTGACAGGCAGGGGACAGGCCGGGCGGAAGAGGCAAAAGACTGTGCACGCAATTCTCTTTGCTTTATTCTTTTTCACTTCGAAAGGAACTGGGGAGAGTTCAGCTTTGTGTGTCTCTACCTCAGGAGCCCACCCCCATCCCCAGCGTCTCCAGCTTCATGCTTGTCACTAGAACCTCTCCGAGACTGAGCGCCTGTGAGAAGACAACAACATGTACCAATTGTCTAGGGCTTCAAACTGATTGTGATTCTCCTCTAATCCTTTTAAATGTGGTGTTTTTAAATTAAGAGTGGCAGAAACAAAGTGATTTAGGACAATGATACTGTTCTTCTAGCCTGTTTAATGACGGTGGAGCGTGGCTCAGAAAATGAACTGTCAGATTTGATCAATGATGTTGAAGTGAACCGTGCTCACTCCCGGAGTAGCTGAAGTCAAACTCCCTCCTAGCGAGAGACGCTTTAACCATGGAAGGGTCTGGTGACCAGGAGACGCAAGGGAACATCAGTCACTCGCCCTGCTCACACCCCCTCTCTCTTCTGTCTTGCAGGCACAACGTGTTTGATTGCTCTACTGTCGGATAAAGACCTCACCGTGGCCAACGTTGGTGATTCTCGAGGAGTCTTGTGCGACAAGGACGGGAACGCCATTCCCTTGTCACATGACCACAAGCCTTACCAGCTGAAGGAGAGGAAGAGGATAAAGAGAGCTGGTGAGTTTGTGAGCCCCCTGGAGGGAGGCTGCCATGGTGTCTGGTGGTCTAGGTGCTCACTGGAGAGGGAACACACTTTCCCAGGAGCACACGGGGTCAATATGACCTGACTCTCACCTGGTTTATATTCCTATACTGGACATTTCTTATTCATTGATGATGACTTCATTTGCCACTCTAAATGGCCAAAGACAGCCCTTCCCTGTCGAAAGTCCCATTTGATCACTGGACCTCTACTCATACACTCTCAGATGTGAGGTCATCCGCTGGGACCATGGTCTGACTACCGAGGGCCACACCCTGACAGAAGCTGGCTCACTCCCTTCCAGCAGCTCTCAGTTGCCAGTGGCTTCTCAGGCAGTGGTGCGGCTCGGTGCCCACCTCTCACCTCCACACTCGAACCATCTGACTTGAGCTTCCACTTGTGCATTTTGTCACAACTCTTGTGAGTTCATATATGCAGCTATCCCACACAAGCACACAAACACAAAGAAATAGCTCCCATGAAGTCGTCCACCATCGCTGGCTCTTAGACCCCTTCTGCCCGCTCTGCCTCGATGAGGGGACATGCTACAGAGGTCCCATTTAGGGCTGAACCCTCTGCAGTCTCCTATTCTGACTAGCTGTGCATCTCTGACTCAGTTGCCCTAGAACAGTTTAAGGGAGGGCGGTGACTTTTATCATCTTTATTGGAGTTTATTATGGCCCTAGACGTCAGGCCATCTCTCTTCCTCCTGCTTAGCATGACAAGAAGCTCCAGCCAGTCTGGATCAGATGTTATATATGTTGACCTTTCTGTCTCTGCTGTGTCACTGATGGCGTCAGTATCAGCTGCCTTTCATGGTGCTCCCCGTGCTAAGAGCCGAGCGTGATACACCACATATGTTTGTATACATTCTGGGAAGATGGTAATGTTAGAATCACTTCATAGCCAATAAACTGGAGCCTCGGAGACTTAAGTTCACAGCCATAGAGCTAGCGAGTGACGAGGCCGGAATGAAAACCATGACTAACTCCAGAGCCCTTGCCCCTGACCATTGCACCACGCTGGCTGGAACTGTCCCCTACGCTGCCCACTGTTCCTTTACGGCTGCTCTGTGATGTCACTCCACGAAGAAGTCCTTCCTCCATCCTCCCTTGCTTCAGTGGGTAGCAGACACTAACCAGTCCTGGAAAAGTACCACTGGATGCAGGTGACTTCTAACAAACGTGGCTTCTCTCTCCTCCGGGTTTTCAAAAGAAAAATCTAGGTCTTACATAATTTTCACATCCTGAAAAAAAAAATCCCCTTCTAGAGTGTGTAAATATTGACTAAATATCTGACAAATAGAATTTGTAAAGGAACAAAGTTCTAGCTCCTTTAAAGAAAGCATCGTAGGGGGGCTGGAGAGATGGCTCAGTGGTTAAGAGCATTGCCTGCTCTTCCAAAGGTCCTGAGTTCAATTCCCAGCAACCGCATGGTGGCTCACAACCATCTGTAATGAGGTCTGGTGCCCTCTTCTGGCCTGCAGGCAGACATACAGGCATAAATAACTAAATAAATATTTAAAAGAAAAAAAAAAGATCCTAGTGCTTGAGAGACAGAGACAGAGGGATCGGAAATTCAGGCCAGCCTCAGCCATACAGAGAGTTCAAGACTAACTTCCGCTCTAAGAGACTCTAGTCCCCTCTCAAAGGAAAAAAGGAAGGGGGCAGGATAGATAGATAACATTGAGTGAATGTGCTGGCGGGCACCGGGCTGCAGGATCTGTATGGAATAACTTCTTCTGGTCTCACTATACCACAAGATGAACATTATACTCATTCGGCAGCTTGGAAGATGAAGTATCGAGAGGGGAGCCTTTCTCATGGGGGGGGGGGGAGTCACTGCATATGCCTAAAATGTGGTTTTCCTTAAACCCAGTTCTTCTTGGAACCCACATCAGTGCATCCGAGAGTGGGCTCACCGATTGTTTCAAAGATGTCTCCCTGCCTGCCCACTTGCTTTTTGGCATTTCTCGGCCCCTTTCCTCGAATCCCCATGCTGCGGCTACATGCTGTCAACCACTGAGTGGCCATGGTGTGTTACTAAAGCTGATGCTCCGTCCTAACCCATGCTCTCCCCTCAACACTCTTGCCAGCATTAGCGGTGCCAAGGAGGAGAGCATGCCGTTCCATCCCAGGTCCTGCAGCGACGCAGTTGGCCTTGGCAGTGGCAAAGGGGAAGGAGGAGCACCTCCCTTGGCTCCGCCCACATGTAGCAGACCAGTTTATGGCACGCCCACCCAGACTTTACCAAGTGTGAGCAGTATCGGCTGGGCAAGCTAACCGGCTCACGCGCTTTGTCCTTCCAGGTGGATTCATCAGTTTCAACGGCTCCTGGAGGGTCCAGGGAATCCTAGCCATGTCTCGATCCCTGGGAGATTATCCGCTGAAAAATCTCAATGTGGTCATCCCAGACCCAGATATCCTGACCTTCGACCTGGACAAGCTGCAGCCCGAGTTCATGATCTTGGCATCAGACGGTCTGTGGGATGCTTTCAGCAATGAGGAGGCAGTCCGATTCATCAAGGAGCGCTTGGATGAACCGCACTTCGGGGCCAAGAGCATCGTCCTGCAGTCCTTCTACAGGGGCTGCCCCGACAACATCACAGTCATGGTGGTGAAGTTCAGGAATAGTAGCAAAACGGAAGAGCAGTGAGCCCCACAGGCTCTCAGCTGCCCTAGACCAGAGGACTCTCAACATACTGTTCTCTTAATGTAGGAAAAGGTGTGGGATTTATAATTAGGATCATGTGTCCCAACAAAGAGCCCCTTCCCTGGAGACCTCGAATCCCTACCAGGTGGTGAGCAGGGAGTTCCCTGGCTGACACTGCGGAGGGGCTGGAAAGAGTCTGTGTCCCCCCCAGCCCTTCTCACCGGTGTTTGAAATGCTTCTTAGGTAGCCATCGACCCCCAGATATGAGGCAAAAGGAAGATAGGCCATGTATTCCCTTTAATGTGCTTTTCATGATCTTTTCTGTGGTCCTTCAGCTTCCTTGGTGTCCTCTCGGCACCCATGGGCAGGGCACGCCTGTAGCTGCAGGCACCATGCCAGGGCATCTCCTGACGGTGTGGTGGTGGTGCCCTCCGCCTAGCAGAAACACTTTCCCCTTCTGAGCTTGTGATTTCAGTACTCCAGCAGCCTGTGGAGGAGACTCACAACACTTTATTTGTTGCCTGCTCTTGGAGACTGAGGGACACAGAGAGGATGGGGAGTCAGTGGCAGCTTCCTGCACCCCAGACAGCACCCATTCCCCACCCCTTCCTTCATTAGTGTAGGAGACTCCGGATACAGTTAACCAGCCCTGTGCCTCACCCACGGAGCACAGCTTTCCCATTTGCCCACACCTCACAGTGCATCAAGGACAGCCGCTGACTTCACCAAGAACCCACAGAAAGGAATGAAACAGGGTGACCGTCCATCCCCAGTGAGGAATAAGGCTGGGATCAGTCTCAGTGCCCCCTGTGGAGATGCACTGTCCACATTGGAGAGGCAGGCACGAGCCCTGGGAACCTCCACTCCACCTTGGAGAGGCAGGCACGAGCCCTGGGAATCTCCACTCCACCCTCACCAGCTCCTGCTTTTCCGCACAGCCTTCCCGAGCCCATCCTGGTGGCTTTCGTGGCTTTCCAACAGTGTTGGGAGAAACAGCAGCCTAGAATCGCCCAAGTGCTGTTCCCAGCCACCCCAAATTGGTATTTGGCGGCAAACCACTGAGACATGCTTTTGGGCAAGAGAAAGGCCTTTCATCTTTCGCTGCAAATCTCTGTCCATACCCAGTAGCGTTCCCCAGGCAAACACCAACGGACTGCGGTAGCCTGGAGGGAAAATAGCAGACTGGCTTCTGGAGGCCCTGTGTGCGCTGGCAGCAGAGCTGGCTGGAATGCAAGCAAGAGCCCCAAGAGATGTGCAGCACGGTTATCAGGGGCCTGGATTGCTGCTCTGCCCTTCCTAACACCAAAGCTGTGGGGGGTTCCCCGGTCTCTGTGCTTTATAAGTTTGACAGAACACAGTAGGCTGTCCTCTTGACTGAATGAACCAGCCCCAAACAACCACGATTTTCACTGTAGACCCACGCCCGGAGCCCGCCTGGTTTTCTTTCTCAGGGTGGGTGTTGTCAGCATGGCCTCTCAAGGCCCACCCATTAGCCATCCCTGCCCCACTGCCCAGCCCTGCCCTTCAGCTGCAGAGCTTGCCCAAAGCCCAGAGGACAAAGGATACCTTGGACTCCGGGACTGCAGACTGTCTCGACTCCTCCAGGAACTTGCTTTTCTTTGACTGTATTGAGAATTAATTATGGTTTCCCAGGGAATTTGCTTACTTTTGTATCCTGTGTTTTCAACATTGGAATTAGGGTCTTAGTTACTGCTTTTCAGAATGTTTTAGTGCAAAGTACATTCTCTCATGTTCCATGAGTGCACTGGCCTGTGGCGACACGGACACATGGATGTATATTCTGGGCAATGGTAAAAGAGGAAACGGATGTAGGTTCAATCGGTGATGGAGATACGCTTCTTGATTTAGGATGCTCTAGAGTCCCCACAACGCTTCTTCTAAAACTCCAGATTTGACAGTCCATTGGGCAACTTCTTTTGATTTTGTATTTGCTTAACACAAAAGTGTATAAAACAAGAGGAAAAATAATTTGAGAAACATTTATTGTAAAGAAAAAACGGAATAATGAAATAATGTTTTGGTGAAGAAGAAAAAGGGGAAGATACCAAATTAGCCCACTGGTATTCCTTGAGCACACAGGCGGTGCTGCCTGCACTAGTTACAAAACCTTCTACTTGAGGCTATGGACAGCTTGTGAATTTTGCTCTGAAGACGTAACTTATTTCTAACTGCAACCAAATAGAGTATATATATGATATGTATATATCATATATATAAATATAAATTTCATATTCCTTTCTTGCCTCTTCCCCTCCCCCATGGCTTGTAGACTTTTTTAAAGATAGAAATGCTAAGCAGGATAGTAGCGGTTTGATGAATAGTTACATATAAACCAGAGTACCCTTGCCCTTCCCCGTGTCCTCCTGGAATGCTCCTTCTGACCTGGGTCCAGCTGTGGGGAGTCTGCAGTTGGTTGTGACTGGGCACACTGGCCACCCCCAGTCCTCCAGCGGCTCTGGCAGGGTGGATCTAGCTGCAGGAGAAATGGATCTGAGGGAGAACTTGTGAGGCTTCCATCAACAGCACTGCCAAAGCTTGGGGATCATCCCCTAAGGCTGCCTGGACTCCCTGCCCAGCCTGAGTTCGAATTGCCAATCGTCCCCACGGTGCCAAATCTCAGGAGGGTTTTACAGTGTTTCAGAAATACAGCTGATGCAGGTCCCAGGCCCCGCTAACCACTCCGCTGCTGCTTTCCTGGCAATTTGTGCTCTTCAGGTGGGAGAGGGGGAGGGAGGGAGGGCAGGGAAAGTGTTTTTAACGATTCACTGCATTTGCAGTTACCTAATCATATAAATAAACTATACTAACCTAGAACAACCCAAAGCTCGTCCCCAGGATCTGTATTTTTTTATAATGTGACCAACTTGCCCCAGCCAATCTGGATCACTGACATACCACGTGACTGTATGTGCTCACTCCCAGTGGCCAGTGTTAACTTCTGTTCCTTGCTGTGACCCGGAGGGACTGGCCTCTTGAATCTGGTATGTGTCAAGAACGTTGCCAAGAGAAGGTTCCAGCATAGAGCATCTGCAAGCTAGGTATCTCAGGCCTGCTTTGTGGCACACAAGTGTAGCGATTTGGACATTCTGCACGGGGGTGCTGGTGTTGCTGCTCTGACCCTCTCTGAAGTGGCTCCAGGGAGCCGGCTCCACTGTTGCCTAGAGAACCTGGAAATGCACAAAGGACTCACCAAAGGTGTGACCTCTCTTTCCTTTGCCAGGTCCACTTTGTCTCTCCTGTGTTTTTATTGTTTCTCTTCATCATCTTCTTGACTTCAGAAATGCTTTTCCCTCCTTTGGCCCACTGTTACATAATCTTCCCAGAGTCGTCACCCAGAACTGCCTGGGTCTGTCACAGCAGCATCCCCTTTAGCTCTGAAAAAGACGCCGGTCCCATGCTTCCGCCCACCCCCATGGAGGCCGCAAAGTGTAAAATGTGAGCGGCTTCTGGCTAAATCATTTTTATGGAGGCCTTTGGGCTAGCTGGATGCACCTTGTAGGAACAGAGGAGCCTAATGGCCCTCAGTACAGGAGAACACATATTCTAGAAATGTTTTTCCAAATACATGGTTTCATTGTCACGGGAGTCAGGGAACTATACTTCACAGTCTAAAATAAACTCATGACTAAGCTAAATGCCATACAGGAGAGGAGAAAATTCATACAAAGCCCTAATACAGTGTCTGTGAGCTTCTTGTTTTCCCAATTAACTCGATCCCAGAAAACGCTAGCCCTCCTGACATTTCAACGGGCTCCTAACCACCACTTTGGGATGAGTGACGGTACAGTGTGTAAGCCACAGCAGAGTCTTCCACCTGCGAGCCTGGCTAAGGACAGAAGCAGGACTGGCCTGCTGGGGTCTAATATGACGACAAGAGTCTCCCATTGACAGCAGAAGCCCAGCAGTCATACCTGAAACTATAGATGCGACCTCCCCACTGCGAGTAGGAAGCCAGGGCTTTGCCTGGTGGGGCAGTTCTCAGCTGTGCTACCACGGCCTTCGGTTGTTCCTCTGTAGCTGTCTTTGCTTTCCAGATTAAACCAAAATATTTTTCTCTCATCGTTGATAGTATATACATATACACACACATATATGTATATACATACACATACATATAACAGGACAAGTACATACTTGATTTTAATCATTTTTGATACTTTAACTGTTTTTAAATATATAATAGAAATGTCCGCTGTTAATTGTAGCACATATTACTATCTTCCCCCTGTTCACTACAGATTCCGTGAAATAATTTGCAATTCAGAGCTCATGCATCCTGAAATTCATATCCTGTCTTTCACCTCTCTCTCTCTCTCTCTCTCTCTCTCTCTCTCTCTCTCTCTCTCTCTCTCTCTCACACACACACACACACACACACACACACACACACAACACGCCCCTGTCAAGTCTGGCAGCTTTTAAGCCTTGGCCATATTTCCCTAGCCGTTATCCTCAGCCTGGTCAATTTGCTTCGGAAGCTGTGGCAGGTAACCCCAAAACCATGGGTGAAACAGAAACGGTAAATCTGGGGTAAAGTCACTAACTTAAAATTGCATCCAACATTTTGGGGGATATACCACCTATACAATATAAAATAGTAAAACCCAAAACTAAAAATAGCATCCCTTAGGCTAGGTTGCAGATTGCAAAGGGCAAGGGCCAGTTGGTATAGTGAGGTCCATAGGTACGTCTCGAAGTGTTCCCTAATACAGAAGCTTTGGCAGATTCTTAGTAACACTGGGGCTTTGTCCATTATCTGTTTGATCTACCACTGCTAAGCTACATGTTAAGCCAGGTGTTGTAATCATTTCATGCATCTGGTAATAACTACACGGTAGAATCTGAGTTAATGTCAGTGAGAAGAGCATGTGCTATTCATTTGGACCAGTCATCAGGGGCATTTCTGCTGCTCAGAATTACACCAGGAACCAGCATGAAGCAGAGCAGCAGACCACATTTAGGGCGATATTCCCATTTGTTCCCCAAGTCTTAATATTGTCTAACCATAAAATCCTTACACATTTGCCACACTGAAATGAATTCTGAAAGCCTCCAAAGACCGGCAACCAGCACAAGCAGAATATTTAATGGCTCTGGTAGCAGCTTGGGGCTAGCAGGTTTTGAGGAGGGGCAAGAAAATCTACCAGTTCTTCTCAGTGCCTCAGCCCACGAGGAACTTTATCAGTCACACGTTCTCACAACACTCCAGACAATCCAGATGTTGAATGGGAGAGCATGCATCCTTCGGACAATTTAATTAGCTCATTCGTAATTTAAAGTGTGTTCATGAAGAAGCAAAGGGAGAAGCCGTGGTCCAGGGAAGGAGCGGTGGGGCGTGGGAGAAGTGAGGACAGGGGGGAAGGAATGAGAACTGTGCCGTGTGCTTTTTCTATTTCTGATCTCAAGAGACTATAAACTGTAATGATCTCTTGCCCCAAAAGACAACTGACTATGTAGATGGCGAATCTGTCATTTGGAAAGCTAGCATATGTCAGGAGTACAATTACTTAACTTCAAATGCAAACAAACACTAAGTGACAGATTTTTTAAACAATAATAACATAAATGGTCTCTTAGCATTGCACATTGCAAGTTCTAAACATATGATTTTAAGTTTTATACTTTGAACAAGAATAGTAACATCTGTATGGGGGAACAACCAAAAAAGTCAGATTTTTTTTTTTTTTTTTAACCAAAGAAGCATCACCTTTAACGTTTGTCAACCCCACCTTTCCCTAAACTCTTGGAACCTCTGAGTTACAGTCCTTTGCTTAGGCAGAGCAGACCGGTAAGAACCAGCCTCTCTCTGCACTCCGGAGTCTGCTGTTGTTTTTAATCACGAGCACTTGCAGAAGAAACCTCACCAGCTTCTACAAGACCGTAGGTGGGGCCGAGTGTTTAATAAAGGAGGAAGAGGAAGAGGGAAAGAGACACTGTACTAGCTATGCAGTTGTTTCTGTGAGTGGTACCGCAGCTCAACAGGTCTGAGGCCAGCCTGTGCGGACTGTGGAAATGCTGGCTTTGTATAAGCTGTTCTTGAGATCCGCTTGACATCACGGAATTCTTCCCATTGGCAGCATTTCCTCGCTACTTTAAATGTCAGAAGGGGTTGTTTATCAGAAGGCACCAAGATCCTCAATGTATCAGCCATGTTTGAAAACTCCTGACGTTACGTTCAATGATGAAGTCACACGTCGGTGTGATAGCTGCATCAACCAGGCTTTCTGAAGTCAATCCCTAAAACCCATCTGTACATCAAAACCTTGCAGGAACCTCAGAGTGCTGGGGGCTACTTAGAGCTTTTCACTTGTACTGCTTATACTTGTTTCTGAGAGACACGTGAGGAACAAGGCTGCAGTGGGTTTGGGAGGAGCTCAGAGCCGGTGGCAATGTAGTCACTCAAGGTGCATGGCGCGTCACTTGGCCCCTATGATGTGCTGGGTACAGCTGACATTGTAGAGACTGCTGTGCTCATGCACACTAGTCCTACGTTGTATAGAAATGAACAGCTGAAGGAGAGAAGGCGAACACATTAAAGCTATTAAACTGTTTGCTCCTACTATTCTTTTCCTTGGACTAGACTCGTTTTCTGTTCTAATGTCTGTTTGGAAAATAGGTGGTTTTGAGTTTTTGCTGGTTTGGGGTTTTACAGAAAAATCACTTCATGGGAGGAGGCCACCTAAACATAACAGACACAAGCGGGAGGAGCTGCTGGCAGTTGGGATCAGGAGTGAGCCTGGTGATGGTTCAAAATCAGCAAGGTTTTAAATATTTATTTATTATGTATACAATGTTCTGTCTGTGTGTATGCTTGTAGACCAAAAGAGGGCACCAGACTTCATTACAGATGGTTGTGAGCCACCATGTGGTTGCTGGGAATTGAACTCAGGACCTTTGGAAGAGCAGGCAATGCTCTTAACCACTGAGCCATCTCTCCTGCCCATCAGCAAGGTTTTAAATGCATACAACGTAAGTGAGTTTGAGGCCAACCTGGTCTACAAGAGCTAGTTCCAAAGCTACAGCGAAACCCTGTCTCAAAATACAAACAAAAAGTAGCCTTTGATTGTTTTCCTCTTTCATTAAAACAACATGAGCCAGACACAATAACTCACCCTTGTAATCCTAGCACACAAGACATTGGGCCAGAAGAAGCATAAATTCAAGGCAAATCAGGTACCTAGCAAGATCTTCCCAATATTAATCACAGATATTAAACAATGGAAACCGCTTCCCTGGGTAGAATTTTTCTAACAGAATGAAAAGTATGACATGGTATCTTTGTCACTTGGTTAGAATACATGTGAGAGGCTTCCTCGTCCAACTCTGATGGACTCACTAGTCACCGGCTAAGGTGAGCTCGGTAAGCAACTAAGAAACTGGGCAAATACGCTGGGCAGTGGTTTCCCCGAAGCCCAAAGCAGCAATCCTGGGAGGGAGGAAGCTGTCCCGTGAGCATCACAGTTCAGGGCAGCAGGCTGGAGTCCACAGGAGAGGACGCCATTGCAGACGTGTAGATCAGGGCAAGCAAGGAGATTAGAATCTGCAGGGATGGTGGAGGAGGGGCTGAGGGCTTTACTGCACGGGGCAATAGAAAGCTTAGCTGAAGTAGCTGCTATAAAGGTGAGAACAGAAGGGAGTACAGGGGTGAAGCTTTGCTGAGGACTGCCAGGTTCTGATCACCTGAAGCGGAGAACCCTCATCTAAACATGGCTAACACCTGTATGCCATGCTTCAGAAGTAAAGCCCCTACTGCAGACTTAGTCCACTTGAGCTGAAAGCCAACTGCTGATAAGACCTACAAGGAAATCAAAATTGAAAAACTGAGCCAACAATTCCCAGAAGCACGGGACTTAGGCTTTCACGGACTGGCTTAAGTAACCCTTAAAACTCTCCTCTACAGAAAAGGAAAAAACAAAACAAAGAAAAACCCCCAAGTCCAGCATAGTCAGTGAATGACTCAGCTGCTGCCTCCAACTAAAAGTCCTCAGAGGAAGAAAACAGTCCAGGGTAGTGTGTGTTTACATTACCCTATTGTTTAGGACAATCGCCTATCAATAAATCACTGCATGTAAAAAAGCAAGAAGATGTGATTGGGAGTCAAGAGACAGTAGTCAGTAGCAACCAACTCCTTGTAGCTCACAAGGTGTACTTTGAAGACCTTAGAATGGCTGCAGATGTGTTCAGAGTTAAAGGTAACTATGGCCCTAATGAGAAAACAAAGTATATCAACAGAAAGATGGAACATGAAAAAATCAAAACATTGTAAGCTGACTGTGGTGGCATATATACACCTTTAATCCGGCATTCAGAAGAATCTCTGAGTTCGAGGCCAGCCTGGTCTACAGAGGTCCAAACTGGCCAGCGTTACACAGAGAGACCCTGCTTCAAGCAAACAAAATTATCTATTCATCTGTGTCTCACCACGAGGCTGTGGCTTACTGGCAAAGTTTCAGCATGTCTGTCTCTGGCAGTGGCTCCATGGCTTCTCCCCTGACTCCGCCTTCTTCCTCCCAGCATTCAGTTGAGTTTACCCCGCCTAGCTCTGTTCTACCCTGCTCTGCTATAGCCTCAAGACAGTTTATTAACTAATAGTATTCACAACATACAGAGGGGAATCCCACATCACGACGCCTCACGACCTTCTTAGACCCGTTACACAAAAGTTCATATAATGTCTTCCCTGGCAAAGCACATTACTTGTGGTAACCAGAACCCACGTTCTTGGCCATGAACATTCATATTCGGATGTGAATGAGAAAGCCAGTTTCTCATTTACTTTAAGGAAGAGGCATTTTTACACGGATGGCGGCACCTGTGAGAAAGGGGTGACATGCTACAGGCTTCCAGGGCCACAGCAAGAAACGGCAACAGTGGGAGAGATAGGATGGACCCTGGAATCTTCTGGGCACAGCAAAGGAAGCTTCTAAAGCAGTGTAAGACGGTAAAAGTTATTCAAGATTAGATGATCAGGGATTTGGAGCTATTCAGGCAACACCGCTCTGACTTCTCCATATACACACATCTCGTTACTATTATAAATAAATCTAGGATCATTAAGAAAACCCCACTGCTTTTTATAAATGTTGATGTGTGCCAAGTATCTGAAGGAAGTTCTTGGAAATCTGGTCCCATGTTAACCACACTGGGCTAACCAGGGAGCGGATGGAGTTTGAAGGAGTTCCAGTGAGAACTGGTCTTTGAGTTTCTTCAAATCCAAATCTGAAGGCCTCACTGTAACATTAAGGAAGCTACAAGGTACGGTGGCACAATAATCTTAGCATCTAGGAGGCTGGGTGAGGTGAGAGGATTGCAAGTTTGAGTCCTGATTGATTAAAAGGCACAAGGATGTAGGAATTCCAAAGACACTAACATGGGCTAGTTATATTGCAGCATCCATCCTTCTCCCCCACCTAAAGCTAGCCCTGCCTACTCCTCTCTCTGCAGTAATGATCTATTAGAGAATGATGTGGGATTCCCAAGATGGCAGTCTGGGCTTAGCTGGACATGGACCCCCATAAACACTCAGCTTCCCTCAGAAACCTTGTAAAGTGGGTTTCTGTTTGCCAGCAAAATCCATTATGTTTTCCTCAGCTTTCACAGCCTTCCAACCTCCAGAGAGGGCATCCAGTTCTCTGTGAACTCAAGCAAACCCAACAGGGCAGAGCCCCAAGCTAGTAGTTCCCAGGCTGTTCCACTAACCTGCCCTCCTCCCTCTGCAACATAACCCCTCGTAACTGGCAGGACACTCCCACCATATTTGCTGTCTTCTCTTCTCCCAAAGCTCTGACAATTGCTGTCTGCCCCTCGCTCTGTCCCCGAGAGGTAGCCATGACAGTCTCCCTCAAGATGGCTCCTGATATTTATCTAGAATAAAACCCTGCCCCCTAATGATGGAGCTCTTTTGACGGTGGTTTCTTTACTGAGCCCCAGCTTCCAATTTTTACCAGTGATTTTTTTTTCCTTCTCTCCTTAAGAATGGTGTGTTCTACATGGGGATTGCCCTTGAACCTGTGCCCTGGTATGAGAAGACACTTGGTGCAGGGTGCTAGGCAATCACTGGCAAGCAACGCGAGCTTAAAGAACACACGGTGGTCTTCATATACTCGGGAGTCTTCTGAGACTCCCATAGACTGATGACCCAAGGAGAAGGTCACACCTGTGTTGATACAGGGCCTAGACTGATGACTCAGGGAGATGGTCACAGGCCCATTATAGGGAACCACACAACACAGCAGTCTCCACACAGAATTATAAATCAGCCATCACAGGACCTGACTGTGGGTTTGGAGGTTCTATTTTCCGAGGAAGGTTTGAGCTCTTACTACCAGGTAACTAGTAAGAAAGGAGTTACCTGTTCTTTATCAACTCAGAAAAAGCTGCTTAATCCCTGGCACCTGTGGACAAGGCATCCTCTTTCCTCCCTTAGGAACAGGTCCAGCAAGGAAACGCCGGCACTGTGAAGGCACAGGAGATTAAAATCAGACTCGACCTCAGACTTTCGTCTCAGTGGTGAGCTCGTGACAACAGAAGCAGCTTTTCTTGGTTTTGGAAACTCTTTATTCACAAGTTGATCACTAAGCAGAAAACACTGGGTGGGTTAACAATGCAGCGTGGATCCTCTGCCTTCCCTTTCCAACTCAGACACTGCTGTATCATACTCTAATACCCTAGCCTCTTTGCTTTTAGGAAATATTCTCCATCACTCCCAAGGTCTGTGGAGGAAAAAAAAGCACAAATGCAGTGACATCTAGAAACACTGACTACATATTTGTACTACATTAAAAAAAAAGCAAGAAATATTGAATTTTCTTGCTTTGATTATCTGTATTTCTACAATAAAATATCCAACAAAGCTCAGGAGATTGCTGTCAGTCAGTAACAAGCTATGATGTCACATGAGTGGGGCTTTCAAAGGTGAACTGCTGAGTAGAGGAAGTAAAACAAAACTCAAATGTGAAAGGGGATTCATTATATAATAATACTGAAGCCTCCGTAACCTTTAAACACTTAGGAACCTGAAATAACATTAAATACTATCTTATAACTCGGAAATACCACATTGTCAAGTATCCTGTGGATGGAAACAATACAAATGAAATTTTCTTCAATATAACTTCAGTAAAGCTTTTACGAGAAATATATGTGTATATATGTATACACACACACACGCCCATATATATAAATAATACCACCGAAGCTCCACGCTGAGCTTCATGAAACTAGACTATCTAATAAATACAACTCTGCACGGTTTTGTTGCTGTGGACGAGTCAGCTCTTCTTTCAGAGAAATCTTAAGGAATAATAATCTATAGACTAGTCATCCAGGCGATGTTTGTTCCTCTGACTGCATTAGCAAAACCCTTTGTTTGCATTGTTCCACTCCTCCATCGCCTTTAAGGGGTCCACGTGAAAGTCTGTGAAGTCAAATCACTAGGGAGTTTATGCCGCGGAGCTTCCGTCTGGGCGTGCTCCGTGCATCTCAGTCTGGGAAGCCAGCACTCTGAGCCCTCCCTGCCCTGGACGTCTAAAGTACGGCCTTAATAATGGCAGGTGGTGTTCCTCAGCATGACCTGCCAATACGTGATGATCTCCTTGGAAGAGAAGCCATGGGCGGCAATCACGCGTCTGAGCTGGCAGACGTCCAAGTGGATTCTATACAGAAAGAAGAGATTTGTGTCTTCTGGGATGTGAATGTCCACTTTTAACAAATTCAAGCAGATCCCAACATAAACATCTTCAAACTTGATGGGCTTCACGTGACTCATCATTTTATAGATCCTCGGCACAAGGTCCCTGGACAGGATGTAGCCTAACCCACTACAGTAGGGAGGGAACACCTTGAAAGGGTACTCCTCATACGAAATATGGTTTTTCTGGAAAAATCCCCTATAGGAATAGTTGTCGATTAGAGGGTAGCCTGTGAAAAACCTCTCTGAGTGGTTTACGTTTAAAAGATACTTGACTAAATTGCCAGTGTTGATGAAAACATCAGTGTCTGTTTTCATGATATACTTGGCATTGGGGCAAAACTCAATTACCCACCTGAAAGCCATAATGGTTTTCAAGGTCAAGTTATTATATGTGTCTAAAAAATCTTGCCGTATAATATCGCCATAGAGAAGGTGTTCGTCTTCTAGGGACAGCGCCAACACCTTGTCTTCCTTTTCGGCCTGCTGGCCTAATAAGAAAAATGTAAGAACCTCATATCCCCACCAGGACTTCTTTTCACCCCAAGTGACTCTAATCGCTTGTCTGGCTTTCACGTCCGAAGGGCGTGAGGTCACCAGGATGACCAGGAATGGGTTCTGTTGGGAGCAGTTCGAATGTTCCCGGAGCGTGAAGCGAAAGTCTTGTCTGTAAATTGGCTCATACTCATAAAAGTACATCCAGTTCACACGCTCAATGACATTGTAGTGGGGAAGGCTGAGGTACCACATCACCAGGAAACTCAGCAGGGACAGCAGCAAGAGGCTCCATTTGAGGGATCTCAGTGACATCCTATTGAGAAGGGCGGTCAAGACAGCCGGGGCCATTCACAGCAGCGGAGAAGTATGGAAGGCACGGGCTCTACAAGACGGAGCAAAGGCTCGGTGAAGTGTCCACCTCCTCAACACACGTCAGTTGCTGTCATCTAGTCAAGAGGAGAGAATAGAGAGAGAAAGCTCCCAATCAACAGTAGACAGCCTGGCCTCGGCCTGCCTGGCTACATTTAACACATCGATGAACCACCACCCAGGGGTGCAGAGCAAGACCCAGGTTAAAACGGACCCAAGAATCATTTTCAAACAACACCTCTCATTCGACACAAATAATTGTAACCCTAGTTATTTGGGAGGATGAGGCAAGAAGATCACAAGTTCGAGGCCAGCCTAGGTGACCTGGAGAGCCCTGAACTCAAAATTAAAAGTAAAAAAGAAAAATGAGAGCTAAAAAATATTCCACAAACAAGAACTAGAAATATCTGTCTTTCTGTTCTTGCTCATTTTACTCTATTTATGTTGCTTCAAATTCCAGGATTCTAACATTTTTAGCTGAATAACATTCCATCTTGTAGATTACCACACTGTTTTTATCCACTAACCCATCACTCAGCTCTGCAACTCGTTCTGCATCTTGGCTACTGTGCTCCAATACATGAGCAGGTCTTGCTTGCCTCTGACTGTATCCCAAGCAGGCTTTCTAGACTGTGTTCAAGTCAAATAACACCACTGCTATCAATTTATCCTAAATACTAATCAGAAAACTGTGTGGGTCCTTTATAATAGAGAAAAATTATGATTTAGAAGTCTATCATAGGAAACCTTCCAAGTGAAATTATGGCTACTTCATTCAACAGGATACCTTCACCCGTTACTTGCAATTTTGCTTCCCATAATTCCTACATTCATATCACTGACTGAAAAATGGAGCAATATATATACATGATGTACACTTCTTTTGAAAAGAGAGGATGATAAACACCTAGAATTCTATGTGCAAATATGCAGAGCAAGGATGTGCTCCACCAACCCAACGGTCTTGTCTTTGAGGTTGCTGGGAGCTCACGCTCTGCCTTTCTGTGTCACGGGATTATACATGCATTGCTTTGGATTGTCTGTGTTGCCTCTGTAAATAAAAACAAAACACTAGATTTTGTGCCCACAGGGTGCTGAGCCTGTGTAGAGGTTGGGAGCTTGAGTGCTACCCTGTCCTAGCTGTACCCCAGAAGTGTGACCTTGTACCATTCATGACACTTCTATCATTTTAACTATTCTATTGTTTTAATACACATCACCTCCATCCGGGGCATGCTCTGAAAAGCCCGTTTGGATGTGCACGTATCTCACAGTGGTGCTGAGAGCAGACACTCACCATTACAGCTTGCTGAGAGAGATGGGTTTTACTGTACCTATTTTATAAGTGGATTTTAGAGTACTCACATGAAATACAAAGAATATTCTCAAAAAGACTAGGATTCACAGAGATCCACCTGCATCTGCCTCATCTCTGCCTTCACCTCCAGAGTTCTGGCATGCCTAGATATTAAAGGATCTCTTTTTACTATGAAGAACACTGAATTTAAGGGGAAATGGAATGTAAGAAGCAAAGGTAAAGCAAGAGATTATTAAAAGATATGAAAGACTCATAATCACAGCTGAAAGAATGGAAACAGACAACAAAAAACACAAGTAATTTTTCTCATATTGTGAAGAGGATGAACCTAGTGCAGTGGTTCTCAACCTGTGGGGCTTGACCTTTTGGGGAGTTGAACCTTCATGGGGTCACCCAAGACCATGGGAAAACACAGACATTTACATTATGATTCACAACAGTAGCAAAATTACAGCTATGAAGTAGCAATGGAAACAGTTTAATGGTTGGGGTCACCACAGCAGGAGCCACTGTATTAAAAGGTTGCAGCATTAGGAAGGCTGAGAACCAAGAGGCTGTAGAAAGATGACGGCTACGTTGATTAAGTGCTTCCCCTGCCAACACAGGAGCCATACACATGAAAGCTGCCTCCTGAGTGACAAGATGATAGAACACATCCCCAGACTCCCCCATGCACTCACATGAACAAGTAAACATGCACAAATTGAAACTGAAATACCAGGTAAAAATGAGATGGCTCAGGTGGGAAAATCCTTGCCATACAAGCATGAAGACCCCGGTTTAGATTTTCACCACTCACACAAATGGCAGATACAGTATCACACGTTTGTAACCTCACTGGAGTGGGGGAGGCTTGGTAGAGAGGAGTAGACTCCTTGAGCTTGCTAGCTACCCAGTTTAAGTAAACTGGTGAGCCCCAGGTTCAGTGAGGGAGCCAGTCTCAAAAAATGTGGAGAGAAACTGAAGGAAAGGCCTGATGTTGACTTCTGGTCTCCACACATCTGCACACACACACACACACACGCACACACGCACACACGCATGCCTGCTAGCCTGCTTGCCTGCAAAAGAATATCGTAAATGAGAAACTCTCCACACTTTGTTCAGTAGGAATAAGGATGAGGATAAACACAGTTTTTGCTAAAACTGTATGTAAGAATCTATTCTAAACTGGGGTGAGAGACGGCACAGTGATTCAAAGCACTTGCTGCTTTTGCAGAGGACCCAGGTTTGGGTGCCACCACCACCTGGCTCACAACCATTTATAACTTATGTCCTCTTCTGGTCTCTTTCTCCGTGGCACACTTTCACGCTTGCAAGCAAACATTTATGCATCTAAGATAAAAATGACTAAATAAAAACTTTAAAGAAATTTAAAAAGAATAGATAATATAAACCTTCAGCATAACCAGCAGAAGAATAAATATGGACATATATCTTCTGAGTTGAATGATGGAAACAACAAACAGGTCAAGTAAGCCAGCTACTGACGGGAAGACGAAAAAGAGAGAGGGGGAAAGCAGAGAAAATGTATGGCAAAGAAAAACACAGAAGCCAGCTGCCGTCAATGCGAACGGACGTTAGTACGGGCAGTAGCTCACCTGAACCATGGGGGTTTTCATGGCCTGGCCCAAATTTCTGCCACATGCTATGTAAAAGGCTCACACCTAAAACAAAACACAAAGTGTTTAAAACTTAAGAAACAGGAAAGCATGTGCCAGGAAAATGCCAATCAACAAACTAGCCATTCACATCACGTTCTCTGATTCGAGTTGAAATCTTTATGACTTATCTCTTTTTAGCCATGTGTTTTGTATGGGCCCCTGTGGTTAAGGTGAACTACTGCCCCATACTGATGTACATTTGCACTTAACAGCAGCTGGCTTCTGTGTTTTCTATGTGCCATGCGGATGTGATTGCATGTGTGTCTGGAAGCAGGTGAAGGTCAGAGTTCAACGAAAGCACCCCCCAAAAAGGTAATTAACGATCATAAAGCTACATCACACACAAAAAAAGCATCAGTGTGGGGAGCCAGACTGACCCAAGACTTCCTCAGCGGTCCCGATGAAAGGACAAACGTGACCTTAGATCTGTGTCCTTGTCCAGTAGCCGGGTAGTCAAAGCTGGTCTTGGGCTCAAGCCAGTGCCTCGAAGGAGTCAAGGCTGCAGCTTCTGGAGACCCGACTCTTCCCTCTGGGCTGTGGTTATCAGTCCTTGGGTAGCCGTCGGAGGTGCTGCACAGTCTCTCTGCCGACACTGTCTAACACAGAGCTCTGCTGACCTTGGCCTTTTTCCTCCTGCAGATAGTATAAAATAAGAAGTTGTGCTTAATACACTTCTTGGGCCAGGTGTGTTTGCACTGGCCTTTAATGCCAGTACCCGAGAGACAGAAGCATGTGGATCTCTGGGTTTGAGGCCAGCTTTGTCTACAAAGAAGTTCCAGGACATCCAGGGCTACACAGAGACACCCTGTCTTGAAAACCAAAAGGAAAAGGAAAACACTTGTTTGGCGCAAGTCATCAGCTTCTGCCAGACCCTCAGCCCCAGCTATTACTTTTGTCTTCTCATTCTATTTCTCATCCCTGCTCCTCCCACTCAACACCCCACTGTTCAGGGTCCTGATTCCAGCTGGTTTGGGACATTACATGAGTTGGCCATCTTAAGTCAGCTGTGATAAAGCGGGCCTCTCGGCTTCCCTCAGCCCCCCTTGCACGGGCGCTCTTGGACACATCCCACTTCCGTCCGCTCTATGTGAAACAGCATACAGATCCTCTTGGGAAGTCAGACGAATAATCCTTTCCTTAAAATCTGAAAATTACATTCATTTGATTGTACATACACGGTTGGGGACTAGAGAAGATCTTCCAGGACCTGGCAGAGAAGTGGATCGAACTTCCAGGACCTGGCAGAGAAGTGGATCGAACTTCCAGGACCTGGCAGAGAAGTGGATCGTGGGGACGGCGCTCAAGTCATCATCAGGCTTAGTGACAAACCATTACCCACGGAGCTACCTCACTTAAGTACTGTGCTTACAGCATTTCCAACCCTCTCTCTCCCATCCACTCCTCCCTTGTCCTCTTCACTCCCTCTCAAATCGACCACTTTTTATTATTTGTGCATGTGTGTGTGTGTGTGTGAATTTATCCTGTTAAGTCCATTTTGGTGTTGCTTATATGAATATGTATTTATGGCTAACCACTTATGATTTAGATAGTCTATCACTGTCCTTGGAGAAGTCTGATTCTCTGAGCAGAAATTAATTACCTACAGCTCTTCATACAGGGGCAGGGCCTTGTGAGATTTCCCATATCTGTGTTGGCATGTCAGCTGGTGTTGGCATTATGTAGGTCGTATGTATTTAGGAGGTTATACTGGGATGCGTGGGAAGAGCTTCCGTTCCCTGTCATGTATAGAAGACACTGTCTTTCAGCAGACATTCTCATCCTCAGCCTCTTACAATCTTTCCTCTCCTCCTGCAGGGCTCCGATCCTTAGGAATAAAGGCTGCATTGTAGATATATCAATAAATATGCAGAGTATGGCAGCAAGCATCTGAAAATCAGTATTTATAAGGTAGAGCAGGAGGACTGAGAGCTGGAAATAATCTCCAGCAACATAGTGAACGTAAGGCCAGCCTGGGCTATGGGTGAAACCCAGTCTAAGCAATTCTCGCCTTGTATTTTGTTCTATTGCTGTGCAGACAACAGGACCTCAGCAGCTCTTCTAAAGAAAACCATTTAGCTGGGTGGCTTCCAGTCCAGAGGTTCAGTTCATTATCGCTGTGGAACATGGTGGTGTGCAGGTAGACACGGTGCTGGAAAAATCGCTGAGAGTTCTACATCTTACCCAGGCAACAGGAAGTGAACTCTGACACTAGGCGGTATCCCCTCAAAACCTGCCTCCACAGTGACACACTTTCTCCAACAAGGCCACACCTCCTAATAATGCCACTTCTTTTGAGGCCATTTTCTTTCAAACCACCATACCTTGAAAACAAACAAAACCAAAAACTACCACTGCCCCTAAGGTAAGATATGTCTTTACTTCTGTATAAAACCTGCAGACTTATTTTCTGTCATTATTCTCTAAGAAACACTGAGAAACAGCTAGGCATTCCTATTCTAAAACACTGCAGTAGGCTTTTAAATCTGGAGTGTGCACAGACCGCGTGCACCATTGTACATAGGAATTTCAGTGTGAGAGAACCTGGGAGCCCATAGGAGTCCTAGAACCATCTCCTACACTCCCTGAGGGCCCCAGTACTTGTTTTTAAGGCTGCATCAAACATTTACTTAAAAAGAAAAAAATACAACAACAAAACCTGATACTAGGTTACATATTGTGCTGGCTAGCTGGAGTCCTCTCAGGAAACAGTCTCTATTGACAGACTGCCTAAGACTGGGATATAGGCAAGCTTGTAGGACATCTTAATTTGTGATTGATGTGGCCATTGTGGGTGTCACCACCCCTGGCCTGGTGGTCCTTGATGCTCTAAGAAAGCAGGCTGAGCAAGTCACAGAGAGCAAGCCAGTAAGCAGCACTCCTCTGTGGCTTCTGTAATGGCTCCTTACATATATGTGGAAGTCAGAGGACTACTTGTGGGGTCAGTTCTCCCTATCTACCATGTAAGTCTAGTGTGTCAGGCTTGCTGGTAGGGCTCTTATCTGCTGAGCCACCTCAATGACCCTGTCATACTATCTTTTGTAGTAGGAAATTTAGAATATGTGTGTGTGTGTGTGTGTGTGTGTGTGTGTGTGTGTGTGGTGGTTTAAATGAAAATGACCTCATAGGGAGTGTCACTATCAGGAAGGGTGCCCTTGTTCCAGTACATATGGCCCTGTAGGAGAAAGTGTGTTGTGTCACTGGGGGCAGGCTTTGAGGTTTCAGATGCTCAAGCCATGCCCAGTCCCTCTCTCTCTTCCTGCTGACTGCTGATCTGGACGGAGAACTCTCCGCTCCTTCTCCACCCCCATGTCTGCCTGTGCGCTGCCATGCTATGGTGATAATGGACTAAACTTCCAAGCTGTAAGCCAGCTCCAATTAAATGTCTTCCTTTACAAGAGTTGCCACGGTCATGGTGTCTCTCCACAGCAGTAGAGATCCAAAGACAATGTAGTTAGAAAAGTGACAGAAAGTGACATGTGGTAGATGGGAAGAAAGGGTAGATCAGAGAAAGGGTGAAAGCAAGGCTTTCTAATGTTACAAGCTATAAATGTTTTATTAAATCTCTTTCTTATCCTTTATAAATATATTGTTTGGTTGGTTGGGGGGGGGTGTTTTTTTGTTTTTGTTTTTGTTTTTTGTTTTTTTGGACAGGGTCTCACTATGTAGCTCTGGCTGTCCTGGAACTTACTGTGTAGACCAGGTTGGCCATGAACTCATAGAGATTCACCTGCCTCTGCCTCCCAAGTACTGAGAGTAAAGGCCTGTGCTACTATGCTTGGCTATAACTTTATATATTTATCCAATGTACTAAGGTCCTACTCACACTGTATTACCCTCTGTTACCCCTCCCACTTCTGCTGAACCCCCTTCTTCCCACCTAGTCCTAAGCCGCTGAGTTTATTGAAGGCCACCTTACGAACGCGAACGTGGTAGGGTGTTATTTACCGGGATGTGGGTAACTTAGCCAGTGGCTACACCACTGAAGAAAATAACCCTGCTCCCTTCCCTGCAGTAATATTAACTGCCAAAAAGTTCTTCCTGGAAGGGTGGCGCTCCATGAAACCGTCCCCCATCCATGATGGAGTGTTCAAGGTATCTGTAGCATGTGTTCATGCTTACAAGCACCATGTCCCTTACACCTAACTTTCAGCTTTTACAACCTTCCTGCCCTCTTCCATGATGCATGCCAGTGTCTCAATCATTCCCACAGAAGGAATGGGCATCTCAGTTACTGAGCCCAAAATGTCCCCCTCTCCCACTTTCTGCTCACGCCCAACTGCAGCTGCATCTAACCCACAGACAGATGCAGTAATCTTAGAAATGCCTGGGACAAAAAACACCTGGAAGTCATTCAAACAAACCTAAACTATGTTTTTTGTTTTTTGTTTTCCCAACGTAGGGCTTCTCTGAGATTTCAACATGTATTCTCTAAGGATATAATATGCCATGTTTATTACGTTATTTAAAAAAGAATCTGTTTTAGCTTTTGTTGTCTCTAGCAGGGAGGAAACCATTCAGAGAAATCTGGTCCTGGGAGACCATCATAGACATCCCACTGAAAAGGCTTATATTAATTATTCTGAGTAATAGTCTGAAGCAAATGCAAATCAGCTCAATTCCTTTTACATGATTCAGTAAAGCTGAGCCTTTACTTTTCCTGTGGCACAGCAAGTCCATTCTAGAACACTCACATTAATTTGTCTGTACAAAACACCACTGAGAAATGTGCAAATGGGGTCCAAGTCTTCATGAGTGAGGGGTCCTCTCCCAAAGTCAACAAGAAGGCTCAGACAGCACTCTCTCGAGGCCAACTCAGAACCTGTGTACTTTTCTGTCAGTCACACCTGGGAACCTGGCAGATCCTTCTACCCAGCTGTCACTGTTGAGGTCAAGGTAAGCAGCTGTCTACACAGACCTGCTGACTTGAGGCCCGGCGATGACAGCAACACCAAGTTCACCAAGGCACCGGTTCACGTCATGAGAGCCTCATGACCTGATGTGTTTTACCTTAATGTCAGGACTCAGCATCGGTGTTTCCCCGGCTCGGCTTTGAGTCCCTGTGACTTTCTGTGGGCCCACCAATATCAGGGGCCTTGAGTATCAGCCTCAGTACCCCCTCGCGGGCTCAGAATTGGATGCCTATGGCAGGCGAGGATCGGAGGGTAAAAGATGAACTCAAGTACATTACCTCTGCATCTTCTTTATTTTTTATGTAAGGGAAGAAAATGAAGTGAACGGGCACAGAGGAGGAGGAAGAAGAGGACGAGAAGGACGAGGAGGAGGAGGAAGGGGAGGAAGTGGAAGTAGTGGGAAGAAGAGTAAGAGTAAGGACTAATCTCCATGAGCGTTCTAGTTTTTACAGACATAGTTGGAAAATGAGAATATGCACATCAAAATCACAAAGAGGGGCAGGGAGAATCTGACAAGCTGTACTCTGGAACAGGTGACAACACTCTTCTCTGCGGTCACACCCTTCTGTCCTCACAGCGCACTGCTGCTTTCTGGGACTCCTCTGCCACCTGACCACCACCACCCTTCTCCCTCTCCTTGGACTCAGCTCCACCCCAAACCAACCACTTCAGTTTCCGAGGGTGAAGGGATGCACCGCTTTCAACTCCCAGATAGATGACCCC